CGAGTTGCACAATCAAGCGGGGAAACAGAGCGTGACTGACGAGAAGGACGAGCGGCTCGCGAGGGCCCCAAAACTATCACTTCCGTTCTAATCAGTCACCTATTGGCTCTCGGGGGTGTAACAGCGAATAAAGACTGGGCAACGGGCTCGGCATATACGGCGTTACATTTCGACGTCCACATCGCCACCTCGGAAGGTGATTCAAGTCGGACTGATGCAAATTCTTAGCCCTCCCTCCACATTTTGTGGATATCGTATCTTTACAGCCAGGCATCTCCGTTTCCACTGAACATCTCGTGCGTCACTCACGTTTTCTATGATTGACCGCCGAGTGGGGACACGATTGAATCGTGGTCGAAGACCGAAGTCTAGAACCGGTGGTCATCGGTTTAGGGAAGAAAACGCTCGTGCCCCTCGAATTGAATCGATGTTTCCCCGTTTTCCGCGGAGGGAAATCCTTCGAGAAACCGGTCACGACGGAGAAAATCTGACCTCTCTCACCGATAAGGCAGTTTCCGGGAACCCCGATCACCAAGCTCAGCTTTGAGCTGGGTGGATTGGCGTGCGGCCTCCTGATCTTCACGAAACCGAGACGTTGCGTTGCACGGAGACGCCCCCTTTTCTCGGTTGATGATCTGGCGAGGAGCGCTCCGCTGATCATCGTCCCATTTCATCATCAAGGTTAGATTTCTTATCTTTTGGAGCTCGGATTGGGAACGTGCGCGGATTCCCGGGAAAATCTCAAGGGAATCGCTTCCCGGAAAATCTCAGCAGATGAACTTGCTGGAAGTCCATTTGCGAAGTCAATGAAGGGGTTGGAAATATCGAGGAATCATCCTGCGATGCGCCGCTCTGGGAATCCCTCAAATCGACATCGTTGATATCGTCAATCGATGCAGATGGTATGGTGAGAAGCCGTCATCGGACGCTCCAGTTGAAGGCATTACGGAGTCAAAGAGGAGTGCTGGTTTATTCTGCCATGAAATTCTTCCTCCGGCTAACTCTCGAGTCCTCCGTTAAATCTACGAACGAGTGCTCCTGGACGTTCCGGCAAAGCCGAAGCTGCGAAAAGTTCCCACGTCTCGAGCCTAGCTCGGAGCCCTTTGGCGACTCGTTGTTGATTCCATGAGCATGACTTAAGGCATGGATCGGACCCATGTCCCCGTCCGATTGGGAAGTGTCCAACACTTCCGCCGGGCGCTAGCCCAAGCGAAATCCCGACACACTGTCGATTCTCCGTGGGAGCTCATCTGCGCGGCCGTTGGTCATTGCCGCCTAGTCTCGACACTGCGACGAGCTCAGGAAATGCAGGAGGCAGCTCAATCGAAGTCTCTGTGTCGAAGTGCTTGCGAATCTCTCGGTATTACGNGAGGCCCGAACCGGATAGTGAGGCATCCGGAGGCTCATCCGGGAGCTACAGCTGCCGAGGGTCCGCCACCTACGGTCACGACGACGTCTCGCGGGCTGTCGTCGGTCGATTTCCGCTCGAGTATTTGTCTTCCTTTTTTTTCCGAAATTCACCCTCAAGAACCATAACCATGATACGAAACACTCCAGCAAATACTCAAGCTTCTTTGGCCTCCAGGATTTCTTCAACCCCCTGTTGCAATCTCTCCATACATTTTGCAACATCAGAGGCCTCCA